ACAAAAAGAGTGAGAAGGAGCAGAGGGAACACCAGGCTCGGAGGAGGAGGAGGTGCTCCACGGTGGAGCTGATACCCACGCTCCAGCCCAGGGAAGACCCCATGCCAGAGCAAAGGGGTGGGACGAAGGAGCTGCGGCCCGTCAACAGCCTGTGCCAGAGCAGGTTTTCCCGAAGGACTACAGCCCATGGGAAGCCTACACCAGGGCAGGGGTTAGTGTGCCGGCTTCAGCAACTACCAGACCCTTCTGTGAGCCAGTTTAATTCATTAGTACACACTAACACACTTCTCCAGCTTTCCTCTGGTGCGTGGGGCGGGGGGGACATGGAAATGAGATGCGAAGGAGAACGAAGAAAGAGGCGATTTTTTCTTCCCCTGCTGGTATGTTTACGACAGCAGTTCACAGATGGGTTTGAACACAAGTATGTAGTCCAAAAGCAAAAGGAGAAAAGAGAGGAAGGGGGGAGCAGAACCTGTCAGAGAAAAATGCTGTTAATTCTCCTTACTGCCTCTGGAGGGATTGTGCCCATACTCAAACCCAGCTTGCTCATAAGGCTAAGAAACCAAAAGGTAGTGACACAGAAATGGGAATAAACTAAGTATCAAAGAAGTTTCAACCAAATGCTGACGTAAACTATCATTCTGCACTTTTATGAGAGAGAAACTTTAAAAGTATGTTCAGTCTTAACTGTTAGACAGTAAGATTCTGCTGAGAACACTTTCATCTTTTTTCAGGCATTCATCTACTAAATAAACCATCATATGAGACAGAGAGTACCTGAATCTTCACTGGTAATTCTTCAGTACTATCCGCTGGCCCCCCTCTAAAGTTAGAAAAAAAACACTTTGAGAAATGTCACCATTGCTACTTCCATTTCCAAACACAGGATTCTAGGACAGGTGAAGCAGTAAGAGTAAAAACTCAGACACTGCACTGTATTCCTTTAACGCTCACTACATCTTCATTTTGTTCTATTAGTACTCCTACTTAATCAGAGTTAGTTAATCAGAATTAGAGCAACATAACTGGATGCTAACATTAATATCTTCAATAGGCATCTTGCTTAGTTTATTATTATTATTATTGTTATTATTAACTAAAGTTAACAGGAGAATTTGGTGTTCAGCATTTTGAAAAACAAGCTTAATAAAAATAGTTATGATAAAGCTTTAAGTATTTTTTTGTTTAAATATTATATATCCTCCATTTTGAGAGGCCAAGATCTAGGGAATACATTAAAAAAAACAAACCAAAAACTGTTTCAAAAGGAAGCATGATAATAATATTACAGCTTCCATGTGTAACAATTTTTTTTTTTTTTTTTTTTTAAATTTTACTTCACAGGGCTTAGAAGATCACAGTAATTCTGTTGGCATTGGGGGAGATGGAGCAGAAAGAAGAGGTGAAAAAAAATACCTAGGCGCCTTGAACTGGATGCCAAATCAACTATACTACAAGCTTCGAAAACTAAATTGCATCTTCAGCTATGGTAAGTTTGATAAATCATTAGTAACAAGAGAACAAAGAAGCAAGGTGGGTTTGGTTGTGGAGGGTTTTTTTGCTACACCTGGATATTCCTATGGCCATCAAATTATATCTTTTTGTGTATTTTAAAAACTTATTGGAATAGAATTTATGTAACATCCTCAAAATTTATATGAACAGAAAAAAAAAAGGATGCAATATAAAATTCTGTGTGTAACTTTCAAATACATATTTTTAAAAACTAACACTGCTCTACTACATTTATCATGCAGGTTTTATGCTTTAATATTTTCTCTTGTACTATGAAAACCTCACCTGCATCTCTTTGCGCGTTCTGCTGTCCGCCAAGGAAGGAAGCCTTTTGTGCCTGGCGGCAGTGGTTTTGGTGAGTAACTATCTTTCACAGACGTGTTTTTTTTCGCAGGACTTACAGACTTTTTACATGTTAATCCTGTATTGAACAGCAAGAATATAAGAAAAGATAATTCATTATACCTAGTTATTTACATATAAATTCACAGCTTACTGTTCGTAAGTACAATCTCCTATGTAACAAAAGGGACTGTAGGAAATCTAACTTTCAGTCTAATTTTGCTGAAGTGTTCAAAAACTTTTGCTTTGCTTCTCAAAAAGAGGAGTGGACAGCTTATCTCCTTGCAATTATAAGCTGGTATACTTAACTGTTATCTGAGGTTGATCTAAGACACGCAGTTATTCAATAAAGGAAGCAAAGTTTTGTAGCTAAAGAGGTTTATTCAACATTACCAATTTCAGATACTTAACTCCCGTTGTCTCAAATGGGACCTTAGACAGTCCACGTAGACAATAAGGCTATCTATATGCTTCAAATTGCCCTCTAGTGGCTTTAGTGTGAAGAACGTTGGCTTTGTAACTGGCAAAATGCTCGAAGCTAAAGCTGGTACTCATGTTGATCGCTTCCACAGAACACCAGCAATATCTTCACTTAAGAGGAATAATAATGAAAAGTCATGTTCACTAGTCCAGCCTTTTGTTGTTGTTTAAATCATACACTGTCACTCAAAGTAGATTCAGAATAAATACCTAGTGTGGATGATCACTCTACCCCAGGTTCTGTGTAAGTCAGAAACTAACAAGCCCAGAAAACTGTTCACCTAGTATTTCACACAATTAAACTAGTGAGAACTCAGGTTATTGCTTCTCTGTGATCAGAAAAACAACTAATTTTGTAATGGTATAGAAATGCTAACTGTGGTAATGGGATTCCATTTCAGTTTGTTCTCAATAAGTAAATAGGATAGAGTAGTTTTCACCTCCTGACTCCCTCCCTCTCTTTTAAAACAAACAAAAAAAAAACCCCAAACCAAACAAAGAAAACCCCACAAAAAAAACAAAACACCACAACTATACTTAAGTTGGGCATTTTCTTCTTCCATCATCTTGATCACCACAGTTTATTTCTACAAAGACTTCAATTTGATTCATCCTTACCTCTCTGCTTCCAGATAACTAGAGCAAAGACGAAAGACAGCCAAATGTATTATAGTGAAATTTTTAGTAACTTATTGAAAAATATTTAGTGTAATGCAGCTATCAGTACTTAATTATAAATATTCAAGATACCTATGTTATTTTAAACATACTATTTATAATAGGTTTACATGAAGTTAAAAAAAAAGTCTTAGAACATTTTGTCCATTAGTAACAAATGCATGCTTGTTTTTTTTGGCAGAGGACAGTCTGCTACAGAAAGGTTACAACATCAGAAAAATTAGGCTACTTACTACCGCCACGCTTCCTAGAATTGAAAGCTTGTAGAGAGGATGCGCTCAGAATAAAAAGGTGCAATGCTTCCACATAGTTAAGTCAGCATATCCTACCATTTTTCCAGCCACGTATCTAGCAGCACTAAAAACAAGAGCAAGTTTCCTACAGAAACCACCGATGGTAGAGGACACATTACTGAATTAAGAATAAATGGAATTTTTTTGAAGACAAGTATTCTGCAAAACACTGACATTTGTAATTAAAGCTCTTAAACATTAAAAGATTATTTTGTAGACAAAATTTACTATAGTCAGAGAAAATAAAGACAGTATTACCAATACGAATAGTAGCTTTTCCTTTTCGACCACTTCCTAGGACAATAGTTCTTTTCTTCGGTCTAGTTTTCAAAGCATCCTTAGAAGATGGAGACATCAGCCACTTATACTGGAAATTTTTTTTTTTTAAAGACAGACAAATTGTGTTAGTAACTGATATTTAAAGAGGTGCTCATTTAAGATTAGAGGGGTTTTTGTCAGATATATGGAGAACACTGCTAGTTACAGAAAACTTAATAATAAACTGTAAAAAACAGGAAAAACAAAAATCACACAAAGCCCCAATTCAAACACAGATTCAATGCAAGTCTGAGCGCTACATTATCAGAAAGGGTTCCCAGAACACCACTATAATATCCCATCCAGTATTTTCCTTTCTCCTGTGCAAAACACTTCTCCTTTTATAGCAAAAAAAATGGCATCAACCTTATAAAAAGGAAACTGTTGCTTTTGCCTTTCATTCTCAGAAAGCTGGCTTGCTAGGAATGACTGGCTCAAGCCAAAGTTCTCCAGAGTAATAAAAGCCTCCCTAACATGATTTTCTATTACCAATAAAGTTAGTATTTTAAAAAATAGGAAGTTTAATTTTCACTGCCTGTAATGAAAATTCATCCTTATGCAGTAAAAGCCTCCAAACTAAAATTAAGACATAGTGATAATCAAAGGCAACTGCTGTATTTCAAACTTGATTTCCTTACAGCAACAGCTCTATTCTTAAAGGCTCCCCTTTCCCCAATAAAAGTTTTATTATTCCAGGTAGATACACTTAAGTTACACTGTCACTTATTTTTCAGTGTGCATCAAACTATAGTTAGTACAAAGTTCTAGCACTGAAGCAGCCGTTGAAGGAAATGCAGTTGACAATAACAAAAAGCTTATCTCAGACAACCCTAAACCCCACATCAGAGTACTAGGAACAGTATGCCAAAGTTATTCCCCCCAAATGCACAGGGAAGATTAAAATGCCATTGCTGTGCTCTAACTAATCAAGTTTGGTCCAAATTTATCATTGGCAAGAAATTTTTTTTTTTTTTTTTAAACTTCGAACTCAAATAATCCTTGTGTAAGTTTTGCTGAGTCTACAGCTTGATCTAGCTCCTGCGACAAGTGAATTGCTCATTTTAAACCAAAAAACAGACAGAAAGAATAAAATTAAATTGTAAACATCTAGAGCAAGAGTATCTTAATTTTGTTTTACTGCACACATAAAAGAGCAGCTATACTAGGTTAAACCTCAAGTTCATCAGCCCAGTAGCCTGTCTCCTGTCTAGCTGCCTGCTGCTGTTGTACAACATCTAAGTATAAAGATAGCAAATATATTAAGACAGTGTTGAAAAATGACTAAGTCCTTGAGCTGAGATTACGAAAGCAACTTGTTTTATAGACACCTTCAGTGGATTTTTCCTTTAAGTTATCCAGTCTCTCTCAGAAAGTACACAAACTTTTACCACCTATTACACCCAGTCATATCTACGATTACAATCCACTATACCAGCTACACAGTGCTGCCAGGATAATACAACTTTCCAGTTTGCGCTGCCCACCAAATTTAAAAGCATCCATCAGCAGTAGGCAGCTCTTCCTACAAACTTGAAAACCCAACCCAAAGGCTAGCACCTACATGCTACTGAAAAGCAAAGAGAAATAACCAGTTTTTATGCGGAACAGGATGGAAAGGCTGCTGTGATGGGTATCCAGTAAGCAGGCGATGACAGTACATTACAGGCTATTTGTGGCAGCCAAGACATGATCTTTTGTAGTTGTGATGGCTTATTATTATGAGACCATTCAAAAGCCCACCAAACTTCTCTTTGTAAAGCAACACAGCAGGACCTTAATATATTTTCTGCATAAGCAAAAGCATGGAGTTGACACAACAGGTGCTATGACGAGACAGTACAGAATGCAGCTCTGCCACTTCAAATATAAAAAAATTCAACACTTTACTGAGTTTTACTCATGAGAATTATGACAGTTAGCCTTTGGCAGGATAAAAAGCTGAAACTAGGGGTAGATGAAACTGTACACAGTACTAGGGATGATCATCCATGCAACTCTTTAGTTATCTGTGGGTGAGATACGGTATCAGTTAGGCCACTTGCTGCAAGAGTAAGCTACAGATATGTTTCACACAGAAAATCACATCTTACACCTATATGTGTCCCTACACATAGACTAAACTTAGTCCAATGGAGCCTTCATTTTCTATCAATATAAAATCCAGATCTCTAGCAACTACAATAGCTAAAAGAAAATAAAAATCCCTACTAAATTAAGTAATTTCCAAGATAGATACCCATGTTTTCTCCATTACAAAAAATGGACCGGCACATCCTTTTAAAACCTCACAGGTTTGGAGGCAGTACACAGATGACAAAAGGAAGCAATGTAGATGCTAATTGACTGTATTCTGTTTGACAAGTTTAAGCTACAAGAAATAAACATTGCTTCTTTAAATTTGTAAACGTAGTCTATGATGGATCCTCCATAAAAAAAATTCATGGAAAATCTGAAAAATAACTGAAATTTTTGTATATACTAAAACATTCAGAGTTTAGACTATGTCATTAGGGCTCTCACAAATATAGTCTTAAATTGTTTTTACTTGTACGTTTTTTTAAAATTGTATGGCTGAGTTTTGACTATTGACAGAATAAACAGAGTAAACAGTCCTTGCAGTTCTTTCTGCAACAGAGCTTAATGACCAACTATTTGTCTTCATTAATACCTCTGATGATTTACTAATTTATTTCCTGAGTTTTGACTCCTTAAAAAAAACCAAAAAAAAACCAAACCACAAAACCACACACGAGCAACACCCACACAAAACACAACAAAACAAAACCCCACATGACTGGCTTTCAATATAGAGCACATCAAGACACTACCTCAAAGAAACTCAACTGTTTTTTCCTTCATAATATCCAGGCTTCTGTAACTGAGCTCAAAACCAACTGTAAATCCTAGATTAGGGTAGTAAATGTTTCCGTTTCAAAAGAGTATCAACCTCAACATCAAATGTTTGCGTTCATCTTGCTAAACAGGTGGATTATCCCTTTCTGAGTGTCTGCACTGTTGCCACAATAAAAGCAAATGTTATTTACAACACCCTACTCACAGAGCTTACAAAATAAAGGATCTAGGCTGTTTTTATTTATGCAAGAAGCAAAGTTACTTAGCAAGCTGGTGGTCAGTCCTTTTTCATTCATATTGTTAACGAGGTACGAAGAATTACTAGCATGGCCAATAAGACTTAAGATACTGCACTAATTGGATGAATATAAAACAAATGCCTGGAGCTGAGTGACCTCTTAGTATATGGGAGATTCCCCCTAGAGTTGCTTCTTTTCATGGTTCAGCTTTCCAATCATCTTGAGCATCTCCAGGCAGACGCTATTTTCATGCGATCCCTGCAACATTTTGCAAGTGTTGATTGCATCTGCCAAGGAGAAAATGTACTCCTTCACAACCAACCTCAATTTCTCCAAAATTTAAGAGATTGAAGTGGGGAATGTATTAATCCTCAAGGAATTCTATACACAAACTTCTCAGTTTATTAGATACTCCCTACAGATCCACAGCTCTGACTTTTAAGCCTTTTCAAAATCAAAAGAGCAGTAAGTTCCAGAATAAGAACTGGGATTGTTGCAGCTCTGGGAAAACAAGAACAACAGTACACTCGTTTGCTGCCTCCTTTGGGAACTGAATTGGATTTCTGTGTTATAACCGAAAGACTCAGTATTTAAACAGTGTATCTAATCATAAATGGTCCAGATATTCAGTTTATGCACGTTACTGTAAACTCTCTAGGCACTATTAGGTAAAGATGGCAAGGGGTACTGTACTTTAACTAAACTCTGGTTTCTTAGATGGTTAGTATCGGAAACGATAGTCTCGAGTAACTTAAAAAAATCTTAACTAAGTAAATTATTGCCTAAAAATAACTTTCAAAATAAATTAAGTTTTCAATTTTAAATTATGATTTCCTTTACTTTTTAATGAAAAGTTATTACCATGTTAACAAGAAAGACACATGTAGCAGAGAGCCTTCCAGCATTCCAGCAGCAGTATTTATTTAACGTTCTACGGTCATGCCCAAGTATACACACACATTTCAATTTTTCTGTTCGTTAAATGGATATCCTGGTTTTATTACGTTACATCTTAAATTAGGTAAAAAATCATACAAAATTCCCAATACAGTATCATGTTGCTGCTAGTGGTTTTTTGTCTGTCTTTTAAACTGTTTAGGAGTCAGACTTCTGTGTATAACTACATTAGCTGTTTTAGATTCATTCTGAACAAAGCTGTCCTAAAAAAAAAAAAAAAAAACAATAGCAGATACAAAGAAAACCCCAAACTCACTGCAAAATGCCTACCACATACCTCCGAATTAGCACCATTTCCATTCATAAGAACTCTTTCAATAATGTTTTTCATCATAACATGATCTAGAATGAATTAAGATATCTTATTAAAAATTTCCTGTATGAGACAAGTATTTATGCAAACAAACAGAATAAGCAGTACGTATTACCTACCTTGTTCCCTTCCCCCATTTTAAAACTATTTAGCAAAATACTGTTGCAGGTTTTTTCCTTAAATGTGGTTTATTTCCCCCCCCCGAGTTACTGAAAAAAACAAACAAAAAAACCCACAAAGGGGACAAAGGTAGATACAGATACATACCAATTAATGGATTTTTTCTTATGTCAAGTACCACTAATGCTGTATTAGTTTGAAGAGCATCTAATAATGACCTTGCTCCTTCATTGGATATTCCACACTGCTGCAAATCAAGTGCTAAAATGTTCAAGGAGGTAAAAAAAAAAAAAAAATTCAGTGGCAAAACCTGTGGTCAATCTCTAACACAATTAATCCACACCTGCTGAAAACCTCCATTTCATAGAACATGAAGCATGAAAAAGAGGACATGCCATGTCTAAAAACAAGAATATTACTTTCAGAGAAGAAAACTAGAAATTTAAATCAGTATTATAGATGAACATTAAGAAGCAACTGCTAAACAACTGCAAAGGAAGGAATATGAAAATCATAGTTAAGTCACTGTTCTTGACAACTCCTAGTAGCTATCCCGGGCACCATTAATTCAACTGCCCGAGGTAACATCATATGCACAAACGCGCAACTTATGTCGAAGAAGTCTGAGTCAATGCTTCTACAAGTTCATCGCTTGCACACATCAGTAAGTTATGTGGTTGCCAAGAAATAATACTATGATGGCTTTGGCATTTATTTCAGGTTGTGCATGCACAGAGTCACAGAACTGTTGAGGTTGGAAGGGACCTCTGGAAGTCATCTTGCCGAACCACCCCCCTGCTCAAGCAGGCTCACTTAAAGCCACTCGCCTTGTACCATGTCTGAAAGACCCCCAAGGATGAAGACTCTACAACCACTGTGGGCAACCTGTGCCAGTGTTTGGTCACCCTCACAGTAAGGAAGTGTTTCCTGAGGTTCAGGAGGAACGTGCAGTGTTTCAGTCCGTGCCCACTTCCTCTTGCCCTGTCACCAGGCACCACTGGAAAGAGGCTGGCTACATCTTCTTTATAGCCTGCCTTCAGATATCTGTATGCCTTGATGAGACCCGCCCTGAGCCTTCTCTTCTCCAGGCTAAACAGTCCCAGCTCCCTCGGCCTTTCCCAAAATGAGAGTTGCTCTAGTCCCTTCATCATCTTACTGGCCATTTGCTGGACAATTTCCAGTAGCTCCAGCTCTCTCCTGTACAGGGGAGTGCAGGTCTGGCCTCACCAGTGCTGAGTAGAGGGGAAGAATCGCCGCCCTCAACCTGCTCCCAAGTCTCTGCCTAATGCAGCCCAGGATACCATTAGCCTTCTTTGCCACAAAGGCACTTTGCTGGCTCGTGGTCAGCTTATCCACCAGGACCTTCAGGACCCTTACTACAAAGACGCTTTCCAGCCACGCAGCCCCCAGCATGTTCTGGTGCATGGAATTATTCCTGCCCAGGTGCAGGACTTTGCACTTTCTTTTGTTAAACTTCATGAGGTTCCCACCAGCCCATTTCTCCAGCCTGTTGAGGTCCCTCTGGCTGGCAGCACATCCCCACCTTCCTAGGGATCCAAGTAAGGCTGACTGGCCTGTAGTTCCCTGGGTCCTTCTTCCCAGCCTTCTTGAAGATAGGAGTGATATTTGCTATCCTCCAGTCCTCAGGCACCCCTCCCAATCACCATGATCCTTCAAAGATTATTGAGAGTGACCTCAAAATGACATCAGCCAGCTCCCTCAGCACTTGTGGATCCATCCCATCATGGCCTATGGACTTCCGTATGTCCAGTTTGCTTAAATATTCTCTAATATGATCCTCTTCCATCAGTATGCATGCTACCTGTACACCTGGCTCAAACTATAAAACAATTTTCACAGGTAAGTATTTGATTCCATGTACAGAATGCTATGACTTACACCACCACCATTAGCCATTTTGTACAGATATACCGTAGAACAAATTACTTCTCCAAAATACTAGAGGACAATTCTAGATGACACAATAGTATTTGGACACTTTGACAATTCAAAAGAGGAAGAGAAATTTCTTTTGGAAAAAAGATTACTCTTTCCTAGCTAAATAGTGAGTTACTGTTCTGGCTACATTTGCTGTAATTGACGATTTTAAGTTTTCTGCCTGCCATTACTGTATTTAACAGTCAATATTTCACAATACCTTTTAGCCAAAGGTCCTCTCCTAGACAGTCTGCAAAGGCACTTGCTCCTCTATCTCCAACAAGCATGTTGCAGTTGAAAGTAATCCGCCTCAAGCCAGTCATATAGTCAAGGTCAGGTCGCCTGTAACGTAGGCTTTCAGCCCAAGCTTCACCATGTCTTTTCATTGCCTGGTGCTTTGCAAAGAAAGAAGCTGTTACCAAGTGCAAAGGCAAAGCCATTACTGATGATGAGAAGATCACAAGTTATCTTTCTTTGTACCTGATGTTTAATGGCTTGAGCGCTGACATAAGAAACACAGTTATACCATTTCTGAGTTCAAGAAATACAAGTCATTTTTAAACATTACAGTTAAGTCATGTTTGTTCTGATCATCCAATTTGCAATGCAAATTATTAAATATGGCTACAAAACATCTTACTACCTTCTTTTGGCAGACAGACACTTTCAAGGCATCTTGAATAGGAAAAACACGCTAGGAAATTATGTGCTTTCATGCAAACCAACATTAACATTAATTAGAATATTGTACTAGTCACAAGCTCACTAATCAGTTAATTAGTAGCTTCTAAACTGTAAACTCAATTGTGCTTACAAATGCTTAAGAATACTTAAGACATTTTTCAAAATTTGTGACAATGGAAGAGGCGCTCCCCAAAACAGGTGTTAGACATTTAAAGCCCTAATCCTCATTTAAAGAAAACACATGAGTCTGAGTGTTATTTCTTTAACTGATGTTTACTAAGAAATACCATATTTAAATCCCACACCAGTAAACTAAGCTACTTCTGGCATACAAAGACACAAATTTCAGGATTATTCACATACTTAACATCAGTATTCACATATACTACTCACAAAGTGCTTTGATGGATTTAGAGCTTCAAAGTAAAAGAGAAGAAAATCAAATGTATTTAAGTTCTTGTAAACATTTGGTTCTAAGAAAGGTGATTAAATTACCTTTAATACATTTGCTATATGTTCTGCCCCTCGCCATGTGAGGCTACATCCTGTGAAGTTTACGTATCTGATAGTAGCTGAATTCTTTACACTCTGACAGATTGCTGAAGAAAACAAAAGCATGCATGTTATCTACACACACCACAGCCAAATTATCAGAACGCACTTTTTCACTGCCATATTAAGAAGCTGAATCGGCTTTAACAGTCAAAAGCCTTAACAAAGAACTAGTGTTGAAATACAAAGTACATTTTAAATACCTTCGAAGTGTTCTAAGATCATGTATTTCTAGCGCAAGTGTTTAGCAAAGACTATCTGAACAAGCTAGAACGTATTTTATTTCAGTTTACTTATGTAAACATGAACAAATCAAGAAAGAGTTAACCTCAACCAAATACTATGACTGTTGTTTTCAATAAAAGTATAAACAACATTATAAAGTAGTATGGCTATCTACTAGCATCAGGTGAAGAAATTCAAGTCTTTAAATGTTAAGTCATGTAGAATAAAGTGACGATTGTTATTTTAATCACTGTAGACAAATTTAAAACAGTAATGGAAATACTGAAAAACTTACTTATTTAAAGGACTGAAAAAGAGAGAAGTACATTTACACATTTTTGATTCTGAACTTACTTTCTAATCCTCCATCTCCAATTGGACAGTGGGCTAAAGAGACACTCTCCAGAGATGAAGCTGTGGCCAAGCCCTTCAGAATAAAAAACAATGTTTGTTAACTAGCTTGAAAAGCAAGAATACAAACGGAGAAAAGACCAAGTCACCCAAACTGCTCAGAACTCTTTGTGATTCCTACAAGAACCTCCAGGCGGTTCAGAGGAAGGTCAAAACAAGTGAACCTCAAAGCTCAGTCTAAGCTGGTTCGTTTCTTTAGCACAGGAGGAGCCGTAGCCTATGGGCAACAACCAGCAACCTCCGTTCCTAGAAGCCACTCACGAGCGAACTGGAGTGTTCCAATAACACATCTGAAAGACCTGGTTTTTATCTCCTTGGTATCACACAACTTTCCTTCTGTCATGTACATGCACAGCAGTTTCAGTCACAAGCATAAGTTATACACCCCAAACACAGGGCAGAGATGTTGCTAGGATCTTTCTAATAAGCCTTGATGAATCAGGGCAAGGGAAGGTTATGTGATTTTCACAGGTTCAGCAAGACTAGGTTATACTAAATGTCTCAGCAGAATCATTCATACGATGAATAACACAAAGATATCTTAGAAGAGGAACATCCTTGTCTGTGACAAATATTTATAAAATTTAGTTGCTATTTCTTTATGTTCTAAGCATATTTTCCATTTATTTGTATACTAATATATTCTCACCTTTGTTAAAAGTATTAGATCTCTCTCCCTCAGAAGCAAACCCTGCAGTTCTAAATTTTTTAGTACATCTGATATACTGAGACAGCCTTTGACAGCTTTGCATAGTTGGCCAGTCAAGTCTTTTGATCGAATTGCTGGAATTCTCCTTCTAAAGTAAGTTTTGTATCTTTCAACACCTAGTAAACAACAAAAATTACACATCAGTAAAATCCAGCCCTTATTGACTTAAAAGCAGTCATAATCACACCTTGCTTCTTTGCTGCTTTTCTTAAATAGAAATAATTCCTCAGGTATTACAGTTCCTCCCCCCATGTATTCAATCACACAGAAGTTTTATGCAACAAATTCTAACACGCACACATCAACATATTTGTCTTTTATAGCCATCACTACAAACCTGATTCTCCAAGACCCTGTTGATGAAAACTTCTTATTCCAATAGAAGTCAGAGTCTTATTATGCCTGATAGCATTCAGAAGTGGTGCCCAATCAGCAGCTTTGATGCGATCTACAGTTACATCAAGAGCACCCTGACTCAGGTTAGCCTTCACAGCTTTCAGTGGGACAGAGCCTTGAAGAACACAAAGATGTTCATAATGTGAGTAGAAATCCAGCATGCATTGTCTTCTTATTTTGACTGACTCAATCATTTCTTTTATGTGATGTCTCTCTAAAATAAGGGAGAAAAGAAAAAAAAAAGATACAAACTTTTTCCAATGTACAATTGATTTCGCAACACAGTCTCAGTTCTACACGCATACCCAAAACATATGTTCATGCATACTGTATAGCATTTACATGCCACACTTGATGTGGCAGCTAAAACACTGACATCTTGTGATGCTCACCACCTGTGTAAGTATAGCTGAATGAATCAGGGATTGAAAAAAAAAAAAACAACCAACAAACCTGCATTTTTATTCTCCCACACAAATAAGTATACGCAAAACACAAAAAGCCTAATGTTCAAGCACTAACTGCTGTAAAGTTCTTGTTTTCCTCTTAAAATTTAATTTTGTAGTGTCAGGGTGTGCAGACTCCTGAAAGTCTTGGACACTCCCTGACCCAATATCAAGGGATACAAGTGACTATTCCACAGAGAACTAGTCGTGAGCTTCTCTGCTACTTCAATCAGAAATCTAAATTCTCATAACACAGAATAAAATGTGTGTTTTCCTAAATATTTTTGCTATTGCATACCTTATATACTTATCCCAGTGAATTTAGGAAAGCATTTTTCAGGCATAAGTTTTTGTTACACATTAGTACCCATCTAGCAAAACAGTACTAACTCCCAAGTAGAATCTCCATATACTGCTATGGCACAGCTATTAAGAATAAGTAATTCCATGGTCTCAATAGGAGTATTTGTCAGTATATTTAGAGGACCCATTTATTTACCTATTTACTTTACTTATTTATTACTCAATTCAGCATTAAGTATCCCACACGTGATATCAAACATTGTTCACATTTTTTCGTATTGTTAAAGACTAGAAAGTTTCAGCCAATCTGCTGAAACATTCTGTATGTCAACATGGGCAAAGAATTACTGGATATGTACAAGCATGTGAGGATAGCCATTTGTAAGAATGTAATTTAGAAAAAAAAAAAAATCACATTATTAGTATTTGAATGACTGAAACTGTAATAATAATAGGAATGGAAACTCCAATAATAGTTCCTCTACAGCCTTTTCTTTCTTTTATTTGAGCTCTGATTTACTAGCATTAGATAACGACCACATTGTGGCCACAGGAACAGAAACAGCTAAATTATAATCCAACACTTCGGGTTTAGAAAGTGACCATCAATTGTAAAGCGCCACTGACTTCAGGTGAGGTATCAATGTGCAATGTGTTAGCCTTTTATCTCCAGAGCGTAAGCAATATTCTTTCACAGTGGCTTTCGTTGCAACACCTGAACACCACGCCTCTAACTGAAGGAAAGCAAGGCTCTCCTGGCCCTAGCACTTAAGTTTAACCCACTTGCAGGTAGAAAGGAGAAGGGCCAAACTAGTCAGACCCACAATAATTTCCAATTCAGAAACAGCTATGTAAACTAGAACTCTTCTGTTCTGTGGAAGCTAGTGCATCTGACACAACCCTAGAATATCTTGACTGGCTCTGAGAATGTACACAGGGGACAATTATTCACTACCTCTTTCAACACAGAAGCAAGAAGACATTAGATACCAGCTGCTGACAATCTGAAGTAAAAAAAGAAACAAAGCACACAGTAAAACTGAGAAATCCAGTTCCATGCTAAGAGTTTTTAGGAAGCTGTAAGTTTATAGCGATTCAAAAAACAGCTGGGCAAATTTATAGGGTGGCAAAAAAATTCCATACAAGACTGCTGACCACAGAAACAATGACCATGCCCTACATCCGGAACTGCAAGACACACAGAGGAAGCTTAACGACATGCTTACTCTCTGCTTATACACTTTATTAAGCATAGTCTGATGGTCTGCTGCGGCTAAACACATTTTATTTGACCTGCTGGACCACTGTATTTAAGTATATAATACAGCACCCACCTAACGTACGCAAATAAACAACTCTGGTTACACTTGAGGTAAAATAGTTTTTTTCTGCTTCACCCACTCAATACTGCCACCCACTCAGGGAACTACTTCAGTGCTCCGCCTCCCCAGCAAAGTACACCACGAAACCAGCGTGGACCGGGGACTGCGGTGTTCGCCATCAGCCACGGGGATACGAGAGAAGCGCCCGGGGCCGGGGGCAGCGACAGCC